TATATATATATAGGGGAAAAAACAACGGTGGCTCCCTACTCGTTAATTAAAAGAAAAGGTACAAAGAATGAAAGGGGGAGGATCCCCTTCTAAGAAACCAAAAATACATTTAAACACACCCCTAGGGGTTCCTCTCCCCACAATACAACTCACACAAAAAGAAACTTCCAAAATTATAGGTATACCCAAAACCAAATAGCAAAAACCCAAAAAGAAGTAAATTTGTGATCTAGTATATCTAGAGAAGTGACTACAAAAGAGATGTACAGAAAAAATCTTCCGGTTAGCAATGATTATCCAAAAGCAATCCCACGAGCAGACCAAAGAACCGGCTTGCCGCAATCCAAATAGATCGAAAACAGCTCTCCCCAAAAGTCCAAAGCTTGAGACGATCGGATCCTCAACTTGCATCCTAAAAGGACTGAAGAAATAAAAGATAAAGTGAAAACCAATTTTAAAGAAAATATAAAGGTAGTCCTTCCTCCAGCTTCCAAACAGTAAAGGCAATCCAACCAATCGTAACAATGCCACCAGAATTATAGGGAAACAGAGAAAGATAGGAGCCATGGGCCTCCAAATGAGAGCCAAATTGCTCACAAATAGACCCCAGGTGAAAATAATGCAGCTCATGAAGTCCCCAGAAACTATAGTCCCCAACAAACCTTCTCCCAATATAACACCTTCCCACATACATCACCCCAGTAGCAAAGGAGCCCTGGGCCTCCTTGCTAGAGATGAAGCAGGAAGTATAGGACAACCCGGAAGAAAAAGCAAAAACCCCCCAGAGTAAACTCTCAGCATGTAACCCGCAAATATCCCCATCTCCAACAACAAAATCATCATTAAAAAGGGTGCCCTGGGCCTTCCAAAAATGACTCATCAGAGGGAACCTCCAAACCCTCCAATCTAAAAGTAAAAGGCTCAACATCACATACTTCTCGAGAAGAAAAGCATTAACCCAATCATTCGCATCTAAGCAACCCCCGAAGAGGAGTAACAAAGAGAGAAACCCAGCCAAGACACATCAAAGGCTGAACCCAGCCACTCGACCACCCAACATACCTTAAGGTAATGCATAAGTACGAATATAAGGGGTTTCCAAATTATCCCCCACCAGCAAAGTATAGAGAGGAGGAGGGGGAACTGCTCCCACCCTACAAAACTGACTAGAACCTCCCAAATTAGCAAGTCAGTTTGCAGGTTAATTACCCTCCCGATAAATAAAATTCCAAACCACCTTCATATTGAAAATAAGACCATTAATCATTCTAACATAATAAAGAATATCCCAAGGAGTATCGGCACCCTTAATAAAAATATCAATCAATGAGCGATTATCACATTCAAAAATGATGTATTTCCAACTAAGAGAATAAGCCAAAAGAGCAGCAGATAAAATAGCTCTAGCCTCGGCCTCAAGAGGGGAATTCGCAAAAGTAGGAGAGGAGAAAAAAATAATACACTTTCCATAATGATTCGTAGCAATGCCCCCACACCCAACACTAGAAACCTTCCAACTCCCATCAATGTTAAATTTAATCCACCCTCTAGGGGGTGGAGTCCAATTGACCAAAATAGGAGGACGCGGGACTCTTCTAACAGCCACATTCATATTCCCCAATGCCAGGAAATAATTAATACATGAGAAGAAACTTTATTGGAATTACCAAGTCTCCATAGCTTATTAATGTAAGAAATGATGTTAGTGAAAACCATCATTTTATGAATCTCTTTGTCCTCATGAATAATATCATTCCTAGTCATCTAGATAAACCAACAAATGATATAAGGATATATTTTCCAGAAGTGTTTTTTCTTACCATCCGGGTTACAACTCAAGGTGCTGAGAGAAAGATTCTTCTTAGGGGAAAGACAAGTGCCAAACCACGTTCCAACCTTTCCCCAAATAAATAAAGCATAGGGGCACGAGAAAAAGATATGTTCAATTGACTCCTCCGCCATCAAACAGAAACAACACCTGGAAGCAATTATCAAACCTTTCATCTTAAGAATGTCATCAGAAGGAATAATCGAATGAAATATCTGCCAGGCTAAGAAGGACATAGACGGGGTTAAGGTCCAACTCCATACCCCTTCTCCCCAAGAGGTGTTTTGAAAGTTGTGGCGAGCAGCATATAAGGATTTAGTAATAGAATTCGCCATAGGCAATTTCAAATGAGTGTCATACAAGAGAGGATCAAAAAATATCGTAGAAATAAAATTAGCTCCCTCCAAACCCAATATGCTAGTAAGAAGAGGAAAATTCCAATCGGAGACCTTGAGATTAGGAAACCGCAAATCCCTCATGTTCAACAAAGCATGAGACCAACAATCTTGCCAAAGGAGAGTTTACCTCCACCCACCTCCCAATAAATGAAATCCCTCGCCCAATCTCTAACCTTCAGCATTCTCTTCCACATCGTGGAGTTACCCAACCGCCAATTAGTCAAAGCAGGGTGAGAGAAACGACAGTACTTCCCATACATAAAATTGGCCCATAACGACTCATTCTTTCTAAAATTAAACCATTGTTTGAAGACATTAATATCAGCCAAATGATTTAATGATTTGAAACCCAAACCACTGGCGTTTATGGGTTTACAAACATCTTTCCAAGGTAACCATCTTCTACCAGAGTGATTTCCAACCCATAAGAACTTATTGAAACATCTTTTAAGAGAAGATAGTACTCCTTTTGGGTTGAAGAACTTGAAGTATATATAAAGGAAGAGATCCAAGAATACTTCTCAACAAAGTAATACGACCCTCAAAAGAGAGGAAGTTATTTTGCCTGTCTATGATTCTTTTCTGAATCTTCTCCACAACCTCGTCAAACTGAATACATCTCTTCCTGCCTTTGAGGATGAAAACTCCCAGATATTTGAGTGGGAGATTAGAGGGGGAGAAACCCGTATAGTTAGCAATCCAAGAGGCATTAGAGCGATTTATCGTTTTCCCCAAAAAGATATTACATTTACTAGCATTGAATGAAATGCCCGAGATAAGTTGAAAATCAATCATGGCATTATGAATCACCTTCACTGAATTCTTGTTGCATTAGAAAAGATGTTCATATCATCAGCATAGGCCAAGTGAGATACCAACATACTAGATTTGTGAGAATAATGCAGCTTGGAGTTTCTCCTGAAAATATTGTTAAGAAGACGGGAGAGATAATCAAAAATTAAAATGAAAATAGTAGGGGATAAAAGATCTCCCTGCTTAATCTCACGGCCCGCACTGAAAAAACCTCGAGAATTGCCATTGATGAGAATGCTATACTTATTACAATTAAGCTAGGATTTTATAATATTGCAGAACTCTTGAGAGAAGCCACGAGCATGGAGAATCTTCAATATAAAATCCCAACTAACCGAATCATAGGCCTTCCGAATATCCAGTTTAGTAATTATGTTGCCCCCTCTACACTTTTTATCAAGGTCAAGAGTGAGTTTCTGAGCCAACATAATATTATCAGTAGTCCCCCACTCCTAAATAAAAGCAGACTGATTCAAGAAGATTAACTTGTGAAGATGAGGTTGAAGGTGTTTGACCAAAATCTTACTAATCAACTTAGAAATCACAGAGGTGAGGGAAATAGGCCTAAAATGATCCCAAGAGCTCTTCTGATTGTTCTTACCCCTTTAAAGAAAATTTGTATGGCCGCCACAACATGATCCTTAACAATATTCCAACAAGTAATATAGAAAGCCGAAGTAAAACCATCAGGCCCTAGGGCCTTATTACAGTTAATCTCAAGGAGAGTGGAATAAATCTCCTCAATCGTAGGAACAGCACAAAGATCCATATGCACCATATGATGTCTTGAGGAAAATAGGCCTAAAATGATCCCAAGAGCTCTTCTGATTGTTCTTACCCCTTTAAAGAAAATTAAAAA